TAGGTACTGTACATATAATTATATATTAATTATATATAAATTAGGTACTGTATATATAATTATATATTAACTTATTGTAACTTTGTTATAATTAAATATATAATTTCCGCCGTCTAGCGTGGCGCCACGCTACGGAGATTTTTACGCTAACTATCGTCTGTCAGTATGTAAATTAGGTACCGTAAGTCTAATACAGTACTGTAATTTTATACATTTCTTGTGAAAGAAACATTTCTTATTCAACGGCGATTAAAATTATTTATATTAATGATGTCTCCGAAGTTCTACGAAGTTTTCACAGAAAAATAAGTTGTTAGAAATCGGCCGCTCTTTGCTGAGCTGTTCCGCGACGAAAACAATGTTGAGCAATGGCAATGTCGAATGGTGACACTCGGTAAGTAATCCTACAATTTTTTGTTTATAGCGTAGTTTATACGGATTATTCCCAAAAAATATATACGTATTTTGGAAATGTTGAGTCGGATTAGTCTAGAATCGATTAATTTTATGGAAGAAAATCTTTCAAACAGCCGTAGTCCGTAAACTTGACACGTGTCGGGTTGTGATTGGAAAGATCCGTAAGAAATCGGATTCCTAGAGAATGGAACGTATCTCTATCTTATAGGGGGGTCGACTGTATTTTAATAATACAAATGCTATTTTTTAAATAAATTCTCATAAAAGCTGGGAAAGTTACGCAACTCGTTGCTAGATTTTTTAACCTTCACTTAGCTTCAAACAAGAACAGTTCCTATGATATTCCAATTTCGGGTAACCTGTGTGAGCTGGTAGTATGACCACTAGAACATACGGTCCACCCTACTTTTGAAGATGCCATCGTGCTGTATACCAGATATGTTGATGACGCTTTAATTATTTAGAATCGCAAACCACCGCTTCGACCATCACCAACAATTCAAATGGTTTACTGCTTCGTTCTGAACAAAGAAGTGCCTTCCAAGTGCATTTCCTGGATATCCTAATCACCATACTCAATGGATCTCTCATCACCGATGTCTACAGAAAGAATACGTACCGTACAATCCCTTATTCATTCCTTCAACGTCCCATGATCTATTTGCTTACAAGATAGCATGTTCAGAGTACTTAAAAAAATGGCTTTTACTCATTGTTCTGATACACATTCCAGCTTCAAAGAGTTTCACCATATTAATCGCATTGCCACCACCCTGGGCTACTCGACGAATATTATTAAGGGCCTCATCCGGCGTTAAACGATTCCTATTTTTGATAACGGGATAAATTCACACTATGATTGTGAACATCGGACCTAACCGCAGGTTACTAAATATTAGAGTAAAGACCTTTTCGGCCTTTGTTTATAAAAATGGCCATTGTATATTTATAGGAACCAATGTCAACTACATCAAGATACATTCCAGTTTCGTATCTACACTCGATTCTTAGTCAATCACTTGTTACGTGTGTGTTTCCTGTATCGGACACCTCATTAGTCGCAGATGTTCTGCGCGAGTTTTATTCCTTCCATCATTATTTTATGGATTTATTCGAGAAAACTATACAGTGCTACAACGACAATTACAAATTTCTATTATTTTTTACCATTGTCAAGAGATCAGAATGACTTTTTTTTCTGGGTAAGAGGATAGTGGATTTTGGATTGAATCCATCCGTATGGTTTTACTTTGCGGAATTACTCTTGCTGCTGTTACGATGCTCTTTTGGATCAAAAGAAGAACCTCTGTTCGCTATAGATTCGACATATTTTGTGCCTATGTCACCTGTTCGATCCTCCGAATTGCTGGCTGAATGACACCAGGCTGTGTCCACAAGTTTCTATTTGCATCACGATGTATACCTCAACTCGATCCGAGGATTCTAAACATTAGGACAATGTTCCGATCACAATGCATTGAAGAGTCACTGTATATACTGTATTACATGTAATAAATGTTTGTTTTTTAATATGACTAAAGCACCTTTGAAGACGAATTCTTGGATGTTATTTATATTACGCGAATGTAAATTAACGCGGATTTTATTAATTAATTTGATTTAAATTCAACTGCAAAATAAAATCATAAAGAAAAATATAAGAAAAAATAAAGGTTTTATGCTATTCGATTTGTTACAAATCGAATTACGTAAAACATACAACACAGTAGATAATTTATTTTATAACTGGTTTTGTTTCTCCGTGTTACTGTGTGCAATAATTTCATTTAATTAACATGNCAATCGGTCCGAATCGTAGGTGGACGAAAATATGAAATAAAATGGTTCAAATTCTTACAAGTTATTATTATTATTTATTGTGAAATTTTGCCGCTCCCTAAAACGTAATTTTGCCGCCCCCTAAAAAGTGTTGCCCTGGGCGGGCCGCCCCTGTCGCCCCCCCTTCGCTACGCTACTGGTGGGGGGCATGATTTTGTTCATTCTGTTTGAAGCCTAATAATTTTTGTGGTCAGAATGGTCAGAATCGGAGTCAGATGGTTTAACACAGCAGTTAGTTATTAAGCGTTAAAGTGGTTGAACTAAATCGTGTCCCCATATACATTCTAACATCTTAGGCGAAAACATCTTAACGGGTTTTACTGTACTATTATAAAATGGCTAAAAAGCTTACTTTGAGGGTAGAGACGAGTTTTATTTTATTTTTTTAAAATTTTGAACGATAATAACGAGTAAAATATTCATTAAGAAATATGACATATGACCACTTTTATCTCTTCACCCTGTCGACCTTTAATTAAGAACCAAAATTTAATAGTATTAATGCCCTTTTATATGCAAGCTACAGCGCCACATTTCGTTTCTTAAACTTTACCCATTCTGAGATATTGTTTAATATCTCAGAATGAAATTAAACAAATTAGACGCCAACACACACGCGCGCGCGAATTTTTCCCCTTTATTGACTTTTTTTGAAGGGTTCAGGAGGTCTCCAAACGTGTAGATTTTCAAAAAAAGTTTGGAGGGTCAAATTTGACACGATTCCAACACTTTTCCGTTTTATATACATAACAAGTTGGTAAGTAAAAAGGAGTCAGAGTCGGCGGATTTTTTGACGACTCCAACTCCGACTCCACAGCCCTGGGTTTTACTTTGCGGAATTACTCTTGCTGCTGTTACGATGTTCTTTTGGATCATAAGAAGAACCTCTGTTCGCTATAGATTCGACATATTTTGTGGCTGGTATCGCTCTATGTCACCTGTTCGAGCCTCCGAATTGCTGGCTGAATGACACCAGGCTGTGTCCATAAGTTTCTATTTGCATCACGATGTATACCTCAACTCGATCCGAGGATTCTAAACGTTAGGACAATGTTCCGATCACAATGCATACAAGAAAAAAATACAGGTTTTATGCTATTCGATTTGTTACAAATCGAATTAAATAAAACATACAACACAGTAGATAATTTATTTTATAACTGGTTTTGTTTCTCCGTGTTACTGTGNCGAGGATTCTAAACGTTAGGACAATGTTCCGATCACAATGCATACAAGAAAAAAATACAGGTTTTATGCTATTCGATTTGTTACAAATCGAATTAAATAAAACATACAACACAGTAGATAATTTATTTTATAACTGGTTTTGTTTCTCCGTGTTACTGTGTGCAATAATTTCATTTAATTAACATGCAAGCGAATAACAAGCGAACATCTGCTGACTGCGGCTCTGAAATAATTTACTAATTTAACTACAGTAGAGCCTCGATTATCCGACTCAATTGGGAACTGGAGTTGGTCGGATAACCGAAAAGTATAAAAAAATCCATTATTAGTGTAGTATATTATTATATCCCATGTAATTAGTATATTAGTATATCGCTATTAACCTACTTTGCGTTGAAATTTCATCAATGTTAAGCCTAATAAAAATTTTTTAAAATAATAATCGTCGCTATTGTATCGTTAAAAATTAGAAGATTAAGCCTCGTTTAAATATTGGCTCCCTTTCATGGTCGAATGAGTGTTGCCAGCTAAAACACGTAAAAATAATATTAAAGTAGCCAAGATATAGCCAAATATTGTAGCGCCACATCACTAGCGGACATTTGAAATTTGCCGACCAGGACGGTTAACCGATGTGTCGGTTAATCGGGGTAGGATAATCGAGGCTCTACTGTATTCTCTATGCCAGGGAATGACAAAACTATGGCATGCGTACCCGAAATGGCATGTTAGAAGAAATCATCTGGCACGTAACATTGGCTTATAGGAAAGCGGCGGCTGAACATCCGACATACGCGTTTTCGCGTTTAAAACTTCGGCCTCAACCACGCTATTGAATCTGGACGCGAAATCCCAAGTACTTTTTATGTAGTCTGTTCTACACGTCGGACTTCGTCCCTTACCATCTTGCCACCTCCATTGTCTACCTGGCCGAACTCACAATGAATATTTTTTTATAACTCCGTCCTGTGGGCACTGTGTGTTTTTAACAACCCCAGTATAGATTTGTCCGGACCTATAAAGGGACGGCCGGTGACGGATCACCCCCCGAAAAATTCCCGGTGTTTTTTTTTACCCCTGTTTTCCCATAGTGATTCCTGGCACCCCCGATACAAAATTAATTACAAAAAAATTCTACAGGCTTATTTTGGTTCCCCAAAGACAGGCACCCGGGACAGGTGCCCACTTTCTTCTTCTTAGATACGCCGTTGCATATTTCAAATATAAAATAAAGTATTAAGAATAAATTATTAATAAATAAATAAATATAGGCCTATAAGTTAAATTTTCACATCACTTATTTCCCGTATACATTTACCCGTTAAAATTATAGATTTTTCTCGAACATTATCCTATAATACCGAAAATATTCCAATTAAATTTAACGAAATACAATAAATATTAATTCAAAAAAATTTATAACATTATATTACGTAATTACAAATTTACAAAAAAAAAGTAAAAAAAAAATAAATACGAAGATGGCGTTCATTTTATAAAATATATTTCCGTAAACAGTATATATATTTCGGTGACGTCTCGGCTGACGTCAGAAGGAGCGCAATATGTTTTGACGTCACGGTTTATTGTGTCCCATGATTCCATTGTCGCCGAAAGAGGGATTCGGATTTTAGAAATTTTGACATTATCGAGTGCGGATTTCGACTTTTGCGGAATAAAACTTTAAAAATAAGTAATCGAAAATACTCCGTTATTATATATAAAGGACCGAGATCGCAACTGAGTGAGGTAATAAAGACGTTGAAGTATGATCGAACGTCGCTTAGTATAAGCTTGTGTTTTATATGTGGGAATTTAAGGAATTTATTTGCGCTGCTTTCCAATTTTTTTCTTTTAATTAAACGAAATGGATAAAGTTAGAAATTATTACTTAGCATCGTGCATAAAATATCATTAATTAAACTTCCTTTAGCACTTCTTTAAGCGACACCCTTTAGTCTTTCTGCACCGAAATGTATATATATAAGTGTTCATCAGTCTATATCAAATGTGTTCAATTGAACACAATTATTGATTTTAAGGGCGATGAATATGAATTTTATCAATACAAATGAAATATTTAAAGAAAAAAATCCACAAAATATTCATTTAATATTCTATTATTTCAGATCTTTTTCTGTTTTCATATATAAATAAAAGAGGAGAGAGGAAAAAAAAGAAAAAAAAAAAGACATAAGAGTAAATTATCACTTATATTATCCCCATTTTTATCTCTGATGTATAAATTATTGATGATGATAATCAGTTCTCTAGACTTAATAAATCATTTAGAAAAAAAATAATCCATTTATTTAGCGTAAGTGTGCATATTTAGGATGCCGAATGCATTTCCGAAATGGACGCTTTCAATTAGTAGATGGAGCGAGATGCGAGACGGATCAAATTGTCCGGGTTCAGGGCCTCGCCGGCATAAAATATCTTCTTGGCATCCGTCTAGAGAAGAGATCGTTTGATATAATATATTAACGTTTGTTTAGAGTTTGTATATGCGCGATTAAATAATGTCGGTCAATTTTTATTATAATCGATACGTTTGTTTTTGCGTCGCGTTAAATCCGGGATCGGATTTAGGCATTTCGAGACCCTGAGCCGAACTTCGTGCCGGGGCCCTTTACCGACCCTTTACGGTTTTGAAGTCGGTCGTAAAAAAGAAAAGAATTAACGTAAATGCTATGCAAAATAAAAAGTAAAGTATATTTTGTTGGTTTGTAAAAAACAAATTTTTTTATTACAAAATTCGACTTCGGTTTTCTTTCCTGTAGAAATTTCCGAGGCCCCTCGAAGCCCCGAGCTACGGTTTACTTCTAAATCTGGCCCCAATTAAATATGAAATTTTACGAATTACCGTTAAACGAGTATTGACAAAGTACCGTTCCGAATGAATTAAACAATGTTTTATTTAAATTATTAATTTTTTTTTTTTTTACAAAAGTGATATGTATGATTTTATATATTTAATATTTAAATATAAATCTGTGATTAATCTGACGCTTACAGTTTTTTAGATTTAAATTCGTGAGTCTTGCAAAATTATATAAGACTTTAAAATATACAGTATAATGATTCTAAATCGGATACATTTTTATAGATAATGCTTCGGTTTAATAAATCATTCCGACTCTTTTAATTAAACTTGTATTTACTGTAATTCTAGAATTAGATATTTCCGATAGATAACTATTTTCTAACCTTTTAAAGCGCCGTTCTGATCGAGATGGCGAGTCGAGATATAGATTTTAGATTTTTATTAATTTTAATATTTAAATAGAACGAGGACATTAATTCTTAATCAATCTCTTAGATATAAAATAAATTTTATTGTAAAAGGAAAGCAATAAATTTATGCGGTTTTCGGAAATTATACTACGCTAATTTCTCTTAATGGATAGACATTTATACTTAACGCGTGATTAAAAATATATATTTGTCTGTTTGTCTGCATTCCTATCTTACTTTCGTGATTATAGATGATATAATTTAAGTATAAAGGGAGTCGATTTATAAAGATGATTTATTTATTACTATGAGATTTAAACATAAATGTTTAACATAGATGTGAATTTAGCATTTATAATTAATTGCCGAAATGCTTAGAAAATAAGAAGAAAAAAAATTAAAGATTTTATTGTTTAAAAATAAAGTTTTTCTTCATAATAATGAAATTGTTAAGTATTATTATTATTTAAATAAGAAGAAATGTCATTTATTTATTTATTTCTTGAGCCATACTTTATAAATTTGGTTATAAACTTACACTTAATTAAAATAATTTTATAGTATTAGAGTAATTTAAATTGTAAGATTATAAAATTCATATTTTTAGACAATGTTTTCTGTCTGATTTATTTAAGAATTACATTTGCTTTACAACTATTGTTGCTAGTCAATTATGTTCTGACATTATTGATGATTAAGTGGAAACTCCATTTAATCATGAATAATGTAAAAAAACAAAAACAGTAGATCTCATTTTTGCTTCATCAAAATGTTTTATTTTTAACTCATTATACAATTCTTCAGCTTCAGATATATTTCTTTCAATTGTTACAGAAATTCTAATCGTTATTCAAGTTTTAATTGTGAACGAATCGTTGTAATTTATGATTTTATTCCTTGTATCTTCAGAACTTAAATAAAGCCTATATAGACACATACACATCACATATACTGTAAGATAGAGTTGTCGGATTTCTAAAGAAAACTAGGAAACAAAAGTGATTAATGTTACCGCTTCAACTTTCGCTTCAGTTTGTCCCACCTGGAAAAGTAAAATCGAATGATTTTTTTTTTAGTTAATAACTAAATATTCTGTTTATATTTTTTTAGATTTTGATTTAAAAATTATGTTGAGTTGATGCAAAAGTTTTTGGTACATTTATTTCAAATCAGAAAATAGTTTATTCAAGAAAATTCAAGTACCTTGTTTCGTCGACTGGACAGGTCATGGATTCCTGCTGAATAAAACTTGAGCTGGTTTTAACTTGAAGAACTCTGCAAGTGCAATTTTTTCATATCTGTAAAACTCAGATATGCTATAAAAATAAAAAGACTATTTAAAATCAATGTGTAAGGAGCTGGTCTTTACAGCTCCTTATTGGTCTTTAAGCTGGTAAGCCACAGCATTTATAGAGGCTCCAAAGAGTTGGTACACCTGCTAATGCATAGACAAACACAACTTTTGTGAGAGGGTTATCCTTCCTTCAGTCAGTCAGCGATAAAAAGAAGAAATTTAAATGGAATTTTTAAAAAGAGCTTATTCAACATGCTAAAAAATATTTAATATTTTCATGACACGTCTAAGGTACATGGTTGGGAAACACTGGTCTAGACTATATGGGGGATGAAGGAAAACCTCAGCCAAGATCAAGTAGCTTTTGCTGGGTCAACCTTGACACGTGTGGTCTTGTATTATCAAGAAGAAAGTGCACAGTGCACAGAAATTTCATCTGTGGATGAACTATAGTGGACTGGTTATAATCAAGTGTTTTGCTCATTTCCTTCAAGGTCAGACCTGGATTGGCTTCCACCAGCTGCCACAGTTCATCATCCAATAGGATGGAAGACCTATCTGAGTGTGGCTTATCTTTGACTTATATTGCCCAGCTTTAAATTTATTGAACCACTTGTTTGACTTTGAGACAACATTTTTGTCAAACAGTTACATTGTATGGCAATAAGATTCAGCTGCTTTTATATCAAATTGATAATAATAAAGCACAAATGTGCAAATTTGGTCATGAGAAAACATTTGAAAACTTGACATACTTAAAGATATGGTAAATTCTGTGTTGCAACACAGAATTACCATAAGAAACTTGTAAATGCCATCTGTCAGAGAACAGTTTCAAATATTGTAGAGGTCTAAAATTTCAGAAACTTTTACATCAACCTAATAGTTTTAATACTGACCATAAATATTTGTGAAAGTTAGTTTAATTTAGAATTAAAAATTTTTAATGGTAAACTATAGCTATCTATGGGGAAGGATTAGGATTGATAAATGCCCAAAGCCAATGGCCAAGTGGATAAAACTACTGAATGCTAGTAGTTGGTCTTGGGTTTGTGCCTTCTCATGCGGCATTTTCTGAGTTTTATTCACATTAGAAGCACCTAAATAGGGGTCAATTTTCCATAAAAGACCTCCCAGGAGGCACTCCTCTCACAGATTGCCTGTGTATACCAATAAAACTAAACTAGACATATGCCTATATAAAACTCCATTATTTCCATTACAAAATACAGGCATTAAAAAATGAAAGTAAAGGACAGGTTAAGTCCTTTCTCATTTCGGTAAAGATCAGAACAGTTAGCAAATATAAAAGATTGTCCTTTCAAATAAAGGATTCAACCCTACTATAAAGTGACCAGATGTATTGTTTTGAGACAACTTGTACAGCCAGAATAGTGCACACTATTTTTGTACTGCAGTTTTAGTATTGTACTTATTCTAATTTTTTACCAAGACATAATAATGATAATAATAAATAAAATGAAATTAGGCTAACTGTTAAAACATTCAGTTAAAATGAGAATTAAAATAAATCTTAATTACGCTTGTGAAGAATTGTTGAATATATTAAGTCAAAATAATGAATTTATGAATCGAGAATTCATTCAAATGAAATGTTAGTATCAAATAAAAGGTTAATCAATTAAATAAATTGATCGATGATTTATGTTTTTTCTTTTTAGTTAATCACACTAGCTTGAAAAATAAGACTATGTGAATATGATTTGTATTGGTGGTATTCAGAAATTGTTAGACATTATTTTCTCTTCTGATTTGGGGCTGAAATTCTCCTGTCTGGATCCAAGATTTTACTTATACATAATAAACCATGATTCTTCCTTTAGAATATCCGTGAAGAATAAAAGAGTATTAAAAGATTTTCTGTTGGTAACTCCTTTATGGATGACTCGGGAACTATTTTGTGCTAAATCATGTATTATAAAATACATTTGGCTATCTTTGGAATGCAGTTCTTTTGAAATATTTATTGACCATCTGATCCATAATATGTACATAAAAATTTGTAGTATTATGGAATTCTGTTTCCTGAAAGCTTTTTGTCTCCTTTGCATGTTTCAAATTATGTTTGAATGTAGACTGTTCAAAACTAAAACACTTTTTATTACCTTGATATATAGCAAGGGTTGCCACCCTCCATGTTTTCACTCTTTGCTAATAAACACTAGAGAGTAAAATTTATGCAAATGATTGTTGTAGA